TTTGGGAAACTACCATATAACCTCCATAGAACCTATGTAACGTAACTCTTATTATGCGGACCCCCAAATCCTTGCACCAGAGGAGTGGAACCGGCGCTTCCGTCGTACGGGGGCCGCGGGCAGGATGGTTCCTGGGATGAGAGCTAGGGTTTAGGGTTAAGGGTTGAGGGTTAAGGGTTATACCTGTGGTTATAAGTAGAGTCTACAGAGCCTACAAACTGGTACCCAGGATATGTGGGAGACTCCTTGATGATCACCTTACAAAAACGCATACCTTTACGGTCCCTACTGCAAACCTTCAATAGTAGTGAGTCTGGCATCAAGAATTTTCATATGTAAAAAAGTATGGCCTCAAGCATGAAAGCTCAAGACTCTAAACCTAGGGAAGCACTTAAGTTATGACCGGTCTAAGGGCGTACGGCTTTGGGGCCTATATCTGCCTACAGTATCTATTAAGGACAACACGGGATCCTAGATTCTAAGCCTCGACCATAAGTCCAAGACCCTTGGCGCAAAACCCTCAACGTGGAAATCTTAAGCTCTAAACCTTCGAACCTAAAGCTCTATAAACCTACACCCTGAAACCTTAAGCCCTAAACCTTTAACTCTACACCCCTAAAACCCTTCAGCCCACAACGGAGCTACCCGTGAGCCTCCTAGCCTCATAGCTGTTCAGGAACTTAAAGTAACTTACCATAATGGGTGCATATAGTAACTCGTATGGTTTCCCCAATATAGTAACCCTGGAGCTGGTCGGTTGAGAAAAGGTCCGGTAAGAAAAATTAACCCTTAACCCTAAAACCCTAAACCCCTAAACCCCTAAACCCTAAACCCTAGTCTTATGTGACCCTTATATAAGCTCTCCCCACAGGCAAGTTCCCTCCTTTAGTTAGTCCTCCTTTCCGCTCCCTGCAAAGAAGGCTTATATTCAACCCTAAACCAGCAACCCAGCTAAGGTATCCTACCATGCCGGAGACCGGCCCCTGGATGACCTCACCTTACGAGGCCGCAGCCTGCTGCAACAGGGTCCGGGGGGTTTAGGGTTTAGGGTTATAGTCCCCCTTAAGTAGATAGAATATGGCTTTGGGTCGAATTATAATAGGATCCCCATATACCCCATCTTCTATCTACCTAAAGGGGGACTATAGGGCTTGGGGATTTAGGGATTAGGGGTTTAGGGTTTTAGGGTTCAGTGTAGGTGGGTTTAGGGTTTAGGGGTTTAGGGTTGGGGGTTTAGGGGGTTTTGGATTTTAGGATTTAGGGGGTTTAGGGACAGCAGCCTAGATGATTAACCTCGCAGCTCATATCACAACTGGCAGACACAAGGCCCCCAGCGTCCTTCGGAGAAGTTATCTTAAGGGTTATATTGGGGTTATAATGGACAAGAAAATGGAAACTATACGGATTATAGGGTATTTATTGGGGTATATATTAGGGTCATATATGTTCGAAGGGATTTTGTGGGCTGATCGGCAGCGAGAATGATGTAGGGGGACCGGAATTATAGAAAAAAATGACCGGCTTGTAGCCAATTTGTCGGAATTCATGGGTTTGGGTTCTCAAACAAACCCTAAACCCTAAACCCTAAACAAACCCTAAACCCGAACCTTAAGCGGCCTCGTAGAAATTTTGTAGCCAGGCCCCAGAAGGGCAGATCATGCAATTCTGCACTTGCAATGCTTAGGGTAATATTACCCCAATAATTGTTTATAGGGGTTATATAGGGGTTATATAGGGCTATATAGGGTAATATTACCCCAATAATGGGTTTAGGGGGTTTAGGGTTTAAGGGGTTTAGGGTTTAAGGGGTTTAGGGTTTAAGGGGCTTAGGGTTTAAGGGGTTTAGAGTTTAGGGTTAAAGGGGTTTAGGGTTTAGGGGGTTTAGGGTTTAAGGGGTTTAGGGTTTAGGGTTTAGGGTTTAAGGGGTTTAGGGCTTAGAGTTTAAGGGGTTTAGGGTTTAAGAGTTTAAGGGGTGTAGGGTTTAAGGGGTTTAGCGTTTCAGGGGTTTAGGGTTTAAGGGGTTTAGGGCTTAGGGTTGTTATATGTACCCCAATAATGGAGAATCAAACGGAAAAGAACATGGAAAATAAAATGGAAGCTGGGATTATGTAGGGTTTATTTGTGTCACAGGGCATGGACTCCCACCCGCAGCCCGTGGAGACTAGCAATGCTTTTTTCCTTAGCGAGAACAACCAAAACGGTAGGAGTAGTACCAGTTGGTAGGATGTTCGTGGCAGGGCAGCAGAGTGTTCGTTGTTCAGCGGAAAAAAGGAGAAGCTGGTACTGATGTATGAGACCCAGAAATTGTCGCTTACCACATACCAGCATGGGAGCTTTCTTGGGGTTCATCAGGGATTTCAAGGAAGCAAACTTAATGTGGAGTCTGCAAGGCTTTGTAGACTAGCGATTTGGAGGCTGCGGAAGCACACAAAGCACGCACGAGTGGAGTGTTACAAAATTGCGTTACAAAGCGTTTGAGGGAATCTCAAGCATTCCAACGTAGGCCGCGCATAAGGGGTCCCTCAGCGCCCTTACCCCTAAACCACCCGCTCAAACAGCAGGGTCTGTAGCATCTTATTGGCCGTAGGGGGTGCAAAATCTCCTGCATCTACAGAAAATGAGTTAAACTCCAATCCCTGAATCTTAAATGCGAAAAGCACCTAATCAACAGCATCCGAGAAAACCACAGCGACAATTTTTTGTTTCGAGAGTTTCTTCTATGGATAATACATTAGTTTTACCGACGTAGCCCTTAGCACTGAACCCGTCCATTTTAACTTTCATGTTCTTTTCCGTTTGATTCTCCGTTATACACTTAAACCCCAAACCAGAAAACATTAAACCCCAAACCCTAACTCCCCAACCCTAAGGCCTCAACCCTAACTCAACCCAATTCTCCCACCCCGAGATCCTAACCCTGATCCCTAAATTCCCAACCCTAAACCCTAAACCCTGAGTCCAAACATCAGCCCTGAGATGCACGAGGCACTGCGGCAAATGCCACTCTCCGTACAGTCAATTGTACGCAGGCAGTTGGCGGCACTAAAAAGGCCCATTGCCGATGAGGAGGCCCAAAACATAATGCTGACGGCCATCCACAGTGCAGGCTCACAACCGCAACTGCAGCAAACACAGGTCAACTTGGAAGAAGCTGCCCGCGCCGCGCGCCGATGCACGGCAAGCACCGCTACGACCCTCATGTCTTGCGACCATTTGTAGCCAGAAATGCGACACGCTTGGTCTTTATCTTCATGGAATGGCCGATTAGTTTTTGGGTTTAGGGTTTAGGGTTCAGGGTTGGCCGTTAAGGATTTAGGGTTCGAGTCAGACTGTTGGGGCCTAGGTGTTAGCCTTTGGGGGCTCAAGGCTTACGGTAGGGTATTCAGCTTGGAGTATAGGATTAAGGTTGCAAGGCTCTACATATGTATCCACATAAGTATATACATGCATGTATGCATTCATGCGCTTAGGGCTTAGAGTTGTTCGGATCGTGCAAGGTTGCCCACTTAGCCCGTACCTTTTCATTATGGTGATGTCGGTCTTATTCTACGAGATAGATAAGTGCCTTGTGGCGTCGGGTATTCCAACTAACATGTGGTCGGTTGGCAAGCCAGTCTATGATTTGGAAATTGCGGGCGATACCCTATTAATCTCGGTTACACCGCCACAGATGGAGCAATTTCTCAAATATGTGCAAGTGGAAGCTTCTCTATACGGTATGCAACTTAACCCGACAAAAACGGAAATTTTGGAGGGCCTAGGCGAGCAGAATCCCATATGTTTTGTGGATGGTACAGTTGTTAATCAGGTAGAACTGTAGAACAATTTAAATATCTCGGTACGCAAGTGAACTGGTCTTCTCCCACCAAATGCGCCATAGATTCCCGTAAAGCGCTGGCCTTTTCAATGTATGTGAAGCTACAGCCGCTCTGGAGGAGTAAACTTAGTTGGAAAACCAAGGTCCGTGTCTTTCAAGCCACCATAATACCCAGGCTTCTCTACGGTCTCGACACACTCACCCTAGAAATTAACCACCTCAAAACCATAGACGCATGGTATTTCCAACATCTCAGACGATGTATGGGCATTAAAGCTTCATACTATTCACGCATCACAAATGCCAGCGTATGGAAATTAGCGGGAAAGCCGGTCACTCCTTCCCAAACCCTCACCTCCGCCCAACTAGCTCAACTCGCGAAAATCCTGATTACACCGCCAGACGATCCCATTCATCATGTTGTCTTTTCACCAGGTGTTAAGGATAGAATCAAGTTTACTAAGGGTATAAGAAGAGGACCATCCCACAGGTATTGGCTGGAACTGAATGTCGACATTACCCTACCATCCTAAGAGCATACGCAGGGTACAACGCCCTTGAATACCGGAATGATATTTTAGGCATAAAGCAAATGCTAACTAAATCTTCGGGGTTCCAAAAGTTTCTGGAGACTGCGCCCACGCGCCGAAAAGGCTTACTTGCAAGACATGTCAAAGCATTGGGATGCGCATGGCAGCCGTAAAACCCTAAGTTCCCAAAAAATAAGTCCTGAGCCCTAAGCCCTACCGCAAAACCCGGCGAGGCGGCGGCGCGCGAAGGGTCGTGGTGGCCACGGTTCGGCGTGGCGGCTGTGCCGACAAGGCCTCTGGCTTTTGGCAAGCCGTTGTTGGAGGTACAGTTCAGGGTTCAGGGTTTCGGATTTTCAGGGTTTCGGGTTTAGGGTTCAAGGCTTGGGGTTCAGGGCTTAGGGTTTATGCTTAGGGTTCAGGGTGTAGGGTTCAGGGTTTAGGGTTCAGGGTTTAGGGTTCGGGGCTTAGGGTTCAGGGTTTAGGGTTCAGGGTTTAGGGCTTGGGTTCCCAACCTCAGACCTGAGGGGTTTGGGAGGTCCCTGGAAGGGTCCCGAGGGCCCTGGGCTCTCCTCCCAGTCACAAACTCACAGAATGGCTTCTTAGATATATTGGGTAGGCCCTTGGGATATTTAATATTTTCCCTAATGGACCCTATATACATACATTTTTCAAAGGGTTTTAAGGGTCCAACCCAGTATAAATAGGTGAAAGGTTTGGGGTTTAGGGCTTAGGTTTTCTTATCTGCATATACAGTAGCAGAAGCATCTGTTTCTCTTCGTGTTGTTTGCAATAATTGGAATTCCTCCGTATACGCTAGAATCTAGGTCCTTTAAGGGGGTTGCAAAGGGGATTATATAGGGGACGATTACAGGGGTGTTTAGGGGGGATGCTAGGAGTTTAGATTATGTCGCCCATTTAGCTCCAAGATTGGGATTGTCTTCATGAAGGCTCTCAGTTTTGATGTAGTTGTAGCGGTGGTGGTAGTAGCAGGACTAGAAGCAGTAGGGGCAATAGGAGCAGCAGTAGGAGGAGGATCAGCGGCAATGAAAAGCCAAGTATCGTGGCGCAAAAAAGAGGGTCTCTAATCGTGTCTAGGCTAGCAAGGCCTCGATGCACAGGTTTCGGGTTTGTCGGTTTTCAGGCTTTAAAGGCTTTGGCAGGCGATAGTTAACTTGTTGCAACTAGCTGGGTGGTGTCGAAATCCAAGCCATAGGACTTGAACCCCCAATCGTTGAATCGTAAAGATTGGGGGTAGTGAGGAGTGGCTCTCTCATAGGATCAACTAGCTTCCACAAACTGACATGGAACCCCCCATTTAGGGTCTACATCTACTGTCCGTTCAGCCGAGGGCTATAACGGGTTCCATGCTCGATTGGGGTCGGGATTATGTTCTTGAGGATATCTGATATATACTCTCTATATACCCTTATGCTCCCCTGAATCAGTCTAAGAAGAAGCCCTAGTCCGTGTTACTTACCTTTGTTAGCGGTTGTATCATGGCCAGGAGGTGGCCGAGCGTTGCAAAAGCCTAAGCCAACCCAAACCTTGATCCTATAGTCCCCCTTAGGTAGATAGAATATGGGGTATATGGGGATCTTGTTATAATATACCCAGAGCAATATTCTATCTACTTAAGAGGGCCCTAAGCTGGACATCCT